TAGGTGCGAGAACTCCCCATACTATTGCTTGTGCTTCGCACATGTTAGAAGTGGTGAGAAACCGAAGTTAGAAAAAGTTAGCTTCAAACATGGCTCTCAGCAGAGCTTTGGCAGAGGCCCGGGCAGAGCAAATGAAACCTCAATACAGTTTCTTACTCTATGATTTCTTACTACTATAGCCTAGAATTCAGATCGACGAAATCCGAAAGAGCGAGAGGCAAACAGCTGACACTTTTCGTCAGGCCCTTTTCTCACCTCGGAACTCAGATCGACGACAAAAACAACACAAAATTGCATGGCGTTGCCAGTCTAATGAAATTAACTTTTGGTGAATGTTCGTCAGGCCCTAGTAAAAAGATATAAATAATTTAATCTTACTTGGTTAAAAAAATCAAATATTACTATTCGTTTACTAAAACCACATAGCTTAAAGAACTGTCAATCAGTCGCAAAGTTTGTGTTCTACCCTTAAGGATTGTACCTATGTTTATTAGTCTAGAAATTTGAGAAAATCGAAAAAAAAATTTTTGCCATAATTCGATAGTTTTGATATTCTAAAATATCTCCCTAAAAGGATTTTTCAAAACTCAAATTATTTTCAAAGTTATAGATAAAGTTTTAGTGACGTGGCAACTAGACCGGTTGAGCAAACGACTGGAACAATAAATGGCTGGAAGTCCGGGCTACCATAGTATGAATAACTTTTTCTCCTTCTTTCTATAACAATACCCTTATTTCCAGTATACTTCACTAATCGTTTGAAGGTCATTGAATGGAGCTGGGATAGCTGATTAAGGGTATGTAATTTATACGTAATATTCTATCAGTTACGCTACCCGAAACTTAACGTAAAACTTTAAACGCGTTTTTTTCGAAACTACTTTTTTTGATTCTGTCGCCACTATATTCCAAGTTCTAATCTGTCGATTTACTTAAATTTAGCATGAATATTCTTTAAATATATCTCTATCGCCGGAACCAACAAAAAATACAAAATTTTAAATATCATATTTTTAAAAATTCTACAAAATTTAAAAATTTGTGAAAAAATCGGCTTTTTTCTTTGAGTAGCTGCCATTTCATGATTTTTTTTTTTAGTGCTTCATGCCAAAGCGACATTCGTACTCATTAAGAATTTATCATAGTTTTTTTCAAATAACGACAAGCATAGAAATCATCAGAACAAATATCTTAATGAAAACAAATTTTTTTTTAAATTTATTTTATGTACTCCTTTAAGTTTAATAAACAAATGATAAAAAAAGGATATCTATTGTTTTTTTTATTAATTGTCAAAAAAAGCTCGAAATTCAAGCCTGTAGACTTAATTCATATCAGTACACGCTGCCGTGTTCATTTGGTTGTAAACTGAAGTAAAAATGGTTCTAACCAAAAAATTGCTTATGGTATTAATTGAAAAACAATAATTTGGGATTGGCTTCACATTAGGCTAAGGTATTGGTCAGTTAACTAAAGATCTAAACCAGTAACAATCAAAAAAAAAACAATAAACACATAGTTGATTGAGTAGAGTCCCTTCTATAACAGTATTGGGAAAACGGGCACACTTAAAACAAGGCGAGTGATAGGCACAAGATTATGTAGATCCAGACAATTTTACGCAAGTCGGCAAATAAAAAATGATCTAACGAGAATGCCACTTTTTGCGACATACCTGACGAAAAATGTTTAGCTTGATTAAATAATAAGATGATTTTATTTTTTCAACGATGTACATTTTTTAATCTTAAATGACCTGTTTTGTGTAGAATTTCGCAGCAGGCGTTGCCACCTTGCGCAAAAAAAAAAGAAGTGGTTACGCCTTACAAATTTACTAATGAACAAGAATTCGCTTGTTACCATTTACTGCCTTATGCGAATTCAGTTTATAATTGCAATCTCGGTCTTCAAAATTATATTTGTGGCACACCACCATTTCTTTCGACTTCTTTCTTGGAGGAGAGGGCAGCCCACAAACTTTGTTTCTAACTTCAGATTGCTTTACTAAAAACCACCAATGGCTCTCATATGTGTACATGTATGTATACACACTCACACACACATGTGTATACCAAGGGAAATAGAATAACTTTGCGAATAATTTTTGCTGCCTAACTTCAATTACTTACAAATATAATCACATATACAATCAATTTTGGATAATATACACAAACACAAATAGTCATATGTTAAATACAGCCTTCACATTTTTTTATGCTGTGGTATAAATATCCCACCTGATTTAGACGAGTGTATGCTACACGCAACAAAAAATAAAATTAAAGGCAATATTATATTTAAAAATTAAATTAAACAAACTTATTAATTTCATTGAACTGGTTCTGAAGAGTAATTTTTCGACATGGAATATTTAATGAAGGATATTAAAGTCAGTGCACTGGAATGCTCAGTGTTCTCTCCATATACATATCACAAAATTATGCCAATAGAAAGCAGCTTCAGTAACCAAACAAAGACGGAGCTTTATCAGATCAGTACGCACCTAAAATTCGCAATGATTAACAAAACGCAAGACACGGAGATCTACAATCACAAATATGATAACATAGTAACAATACACAACACTTTCTTCGTAAAAAATTTATTTGTTGTAGTTGCTATCGAATAGTCAAAGTGAGAACTGACTGGTACTAGTAACTGATGCGAACGATTGTAAGAAATACCAAGCACCCTTCAAATTGAAACACGATATTGGAACAAAATACTTGTTCCATTTCTACATTACCACATCATAATTTAATTAAAATCTAGCACAATGTATTGCTGATTGCTGTTATATGTACTATATAATATATTTTTCTAAAAAAATTTCCAAAACTTCAAAAGAAATTTTTAATTTATATTTAACAGCGATAACAGGAATTTTTAAATAATTTGAGAACAAAATGAATGTAATATTATGTTGTAAGTATCTGAAATCAGAGGAAAGGTTGGACTCTTGTCAAGATGTGAAAACCAGGTTTCCATTGATCCGAAAACCAGATAGAGTTCTCAATACATATGTATAATAAAATATATGTCTCTTAAAAAGTTGGTTCTTGATTTTTTTGAATATTGATGCTGCGGTAAACCAATGCGTCGAAATATTCCACATATTTCATCCGTTTCTTAGGGACCTAACAAAAACTATCAATTTAAGTCGAAAGACTTGAACTATTTAACAAATTTTCTCATAGTATTTCATAAACAAAAAGCGGGGAAAAGTTGTTTTTTTAAAGAAGAATGCATTAAACTTATTATGCTCACGTCACTGTCGACTGTTTTCAGCTGTTGTTAAATGGTGGCCTGGTGGAACCGGGAGTTTAACAAGCCCTGTCCGTTCCGCTGGGAAGTGCTATGTGGAATTGGGGTGAAACTGCTCGGTTTAATGCGATAATTAGCTATGTTTTCCCGTGCCACCCTCACTTATTGACGAGAAATAATTCGAATTTACGATTCTGCTTTTTCATTAGAGATTAGAATGTGAATCGTTTGGTTAATATTATGGGACAAATTTAATTTACAAGAACGTTTAAACAGGGAGTTCATTGGGAAAAAATTCAAAATAAAAAATTTGAAGGGAAAGCTTAATAAAATGCTCACCAGAAAAAATTGATCCTTTCCCTGGAATGCGCTGTAATGCTGTTGAAGCTAAAAAGACGCCTCCCCTTTTACGTCCGTCCAGCCTTGACCTATCTGCGTAATAATTGTATACATCCTGGGAGCTTGGAAATTTGTTAGACGTCCAGACCTTCCGAGAAGGGAGTCCACTTGGAAGGGTGTTGATAGGTGCTTTAAATGCCGAATAGCCCTGTTTTTTTTTTTTGGTAAGTGATCTTTGGAGATCCTTCCGGCTAGTATGCTTAGAAGAACATCCAATAAGTGTATAAAATTAAAAAGGACATCCCTTCCGATAGTATAAAATCCTCCCGACTATTTATGGTGGGCGTTGATATTGCTTCCTGCCTTCTACAAGATCTCTGAGCAGTCACATTTTAACAAACGGCGTCCAATTAATAGTCTCTCATTAGTAAAATAGTTCATATTCCAGAGTCTTCGGCCCAGAAACTACCTATGTGTAATCCAATGCTCGGGATCTTGCCTGAGGAAGTGGAACTCGTTCAAAATTTCAAATATTCCAGCTGACCTCCAGTTTCAATTAGATTTCTTATGGTAATTTTGCTAAGCCACAAACGATCTCTTTCCAGTCTATCGTGAGACAAACATATTAAAACCAAAATAAAATCAATTTAAAACCAGACTTTCAGTAACGGCGCTCTCAAAGCACGAGTCGGGGGGTCCAGACCAGATAAGGCCCCAGCTGATATCAAAAAGCAGTTCGTCCAGGAGAATAGAAAATATATAAATACCAGAAAATTCCATAGCGTTGCCAGTCTGCGGAAATGAACTTTGGGTGAACCCCAGCGAAAAGATTAAAAAATTTAATCTTTTGGCGTGCGCTTCTCACTGAACATTATAAGAAATGGAAGGAAAAACTCAAAAAACTCACAAAAGTCGATTGCATGTGCTTACATGTGAGGACAAAATAACATTAATACTATCAGGGGTGCCTCTTGTCAGAGCAAAATGTTTTTTAGGTCCAGAATGTACGAAATAACACAATAAAAGTGCAGCAATGAACTTTAAATTAGCAAATAATTATCAGTAAATTAAAAAAAACAACTGTTAAATTGAAATTGTATTGTTTTTTAATTTCTTTGTACAGCTGCAGACTTGCCTTGCCAAGGTATTTGATAATATCTTTTAAAGGCTCTTTCCCACAAATGCGATATTTGAATTTTAACTGCTTGTCAACAAACCCAGCTGATTGACAGTACGACCGTAGCACACTTAAATCTGATGAACTCTCAAAATTTTGGTCACACTGGAGAGGCTTAAATCTAAAAAGGCGGTTGATAAGTTATCGGAACAAAATGATTCTGGTTCCACTCCATCGTTTCCAGGATAATAAAAAGTAATATCGAAACTATCGATATACATTTCTGAATTGCTTGCAAAAGTATTATTTGGTTATTGTGCAACGTGTTTGGGCAAAGTGTTAAGACTTAACTTAAAATGAAAGTAGAAGCACTGGATAAGTTCTGGACTGACAAAAGTCGCTATGATGTTGCAGAAAAACGGTTCTACGAGGGCCCTCTGAAGGTAAGACAAACCACTATTCCCACGCAGATAGAAGCAAAAAGATTTCACGTGGCCGGTAAAGGAATTCGGATTGGTTTTGGCAATGCTTGCAATTATATGTTTGTACAAATGTATTGGTTGAACGGAGACGCCGAAACATACATTTTTGTAACTTGTATACTTGCATTGATCTAAAAAAAGGTGCCTACGTCGGAATTTAAAATCTTGTGTTCATATTGTACAATAGTACATATGTGTATTTTTGCATCTGTATGTAACAGGTGAATAAAGAGAAATGTAAAAATATAAATCACTGAACCAATCCAAACTAATAGCAATATTTGTTTAAATAAACCAATAGTTTAATAAAGACTTTAGATACTGAATATGGTGCAAAATTCTAAAATATTTTTCATAATTTTGCCAGACAAAATGTATTTAAACAAAATTACTTAGTCGGTTATATATATATATTTGATATATATATAAATATATATGTATACCCATTAGAGACGAATTCGGGACTGATAAGCTGATAATACGTCCTATCAGTGCTCGCGTATTTTTCAATATGGCTGGCAATCTCAAAATAAATTACATTTACTAAAATTTTTCTTAAATTCTGCTAGTCGCCATTTTTATTTTCTTTAAAAAATGTAGTGAAATTCTCGATACACCAAATATTAGATCAAACAAGTAATCAATGGTGATGTCTTATTTTTAAAGGTAACTGATCGCAGCCACTACAGCCCTTTAGTAAGCGAAATCGCTAAGGCTAGGGAACACATACAGAACTCGCTGGAAAAGGTAATTATTGTTGTGATACTTCCTCCCTTACCGGTATTCAATATGTATTCCGCCAGTCTGCTACTCTGAGGTTCTTATTTTTTTCCAAAAAGTATTTAAAATATACAATTTTAATTTTATCGTTCTTTTTTAAAATCCATCTGCACTTGGACTCTATAGAGTCACATATTATTTTGTAATAACACTGCTTCTTTTGGATGTTTACTTGCAGATTGATGGAGTCACTCTCACTGAGGGCTCAAATTCCCAGCTTGCCAATCGCCTGACTCAATTAGAAAGCGAAAGCAAGGAGCTCAAATCCCAAGTTTCCACGTTGAACCAGCTTTTAAATACCGTTGTGAAGCGGTTAAATACTGTTGAAGCTCAGCTGAACTTGACGAACGGAGAGTCAAAGAAGCCCGAACCAAAACCAGAAGCAAACAAAAAAGAGGAGGACGATGATGTCGATCTTTTTGGATCAGAAAGCGAAGAGGAAGAGGAGGAAGCAGCGCGCATAAGGGAGGAAAGACTGGCGGCATATGCTGCCAAGAAGGCCAAGAAAGTTCAAATTATTGCCAAGTCGAACATCATTCTGGATGTCAAGCCTTGGGACGATGAAACCGACCTTAAAGTTATGGAGACGGAAATCCGAAAAATAACCCAGGACGGTTTGCTGTGGGGAGCTTCAAAATTCGTCCCAGTTGCCTTCGGCATCCAGAAACTGAGCATCTCATGCGTGGTTGAGGACGATAAGGTTTCCATTGATTGGCTGACTGAGGAGATCGAGAAATTGGAAGACTTTGTTCAAAGTGTTGACATTGCTGCATTCAACAAAATCTAAAGAGTATGCATATATTTTTTAATTCGGATTTACCTCATTACAAATGTTTTTGGGAGTCATTAAATAAAATATTTTGATAAAAGATCCGGATGTTGGGACTTGACTGGGATATAATCGGCTTAGAGTTGAAAAGTTTTTGTTTAATAATAATTAAATAAAAATGTAAATATTTGTCATGCTTATGTTTGCATTTCCAAATTTGAATAACTTATCCAGTGCCCGAAGAAGATTGCTGTTTTTTGTTAAAGAAAATACTATTTTTTGAATTCGTATATTAGCCACTGTTTTGATTAATTTCCATTACTTATAAACTTAATATTTCGGTTCACAGCTAAATAATACAGATATTATTAATGTTTAATTTGAGGGACTAGTTTCCATAAGGCTCTACAAATTATAAATAGTTAATAATAAGTTATTTAACAATCTAAAGCATAATTTCATTTTCGGGTTTTGTTGAGTTTTTTCGGATCTGTTCACAACTGCCTGGGGAAGATCTGAGAGTTGTCATGGCTGTGCTAGTTGGGGCATACGATTTCGTCAAACCAACGCGATTTCTGATCGATGCCGTGCTGGGGCTTGACTGCAAACCTATGAATCCAATAAATATAAATTATTTTCATAATAAATTATTACAATTAATCTCAATTAAAAATTATTACACCTAATCTAAAAACTTATAAAAGTGAGACAATAAAACTTACCAAACTTTATCAAAATTTCATTATAAATTCTCCGTTTGAAAACAAATATAATAAAAACAAATATTCCAAGAAGTACATTGAAGGAATCGCTGATGGTCCAGAAAAACGTTTTTTTATGGTCGTAAAATAAAATGCTTACTATTTCCAAAAGCCATGTAATGCCCATTACAAAGCATAATTTTGTGTTCATAACAAATCTGGTTTTGTCCTGAAAAAACCTTCTTTTCAGTACCGGCTTATCACTGTTTAAGCTTTGCATCTTGTATATCTCATTTTTTACTTTGTTACAATATTTCATCGTAAGCACGAACAAGACCAAGTTGAATATAAAAAGAATTCCAACTGGCCCAGAAAAAAATAGTAGACTAGCTGACCCAAAAGAATCATCTGAAATTATAGAATATAAATTTAGTAATATTAAAATATTTTTTCCATATAAAAAGATTTGTAGCTAACTTACATGTAAACCAGCAACGACCATGTCCAAAATTGGGTCGAATCACGTCCGGTAAAATGTCAGATTTAGTAAATGCTATTGTTATTGTTGTCAGCAAAGTTGGTAGTCCCCAACCATAACAAGAATACCAAATAAATTGCCTTCTAAGGTCACTTTTTTCGCAGCTTTTAATTTTGGTTGAACTAAAATTAAAAAAAAAAATTTTTTAAGAAGCTTTTATTAAGTGATTTCGTTATAGTTATATACTCTTACCCGAAGGTTTTCCATATGTCAAACGAGGTAATATTCATCCACGAAAATGCAGCCATTAGACAGAAGTAAACAAAAAAGCCTTAAAATAGAAAATAACTTTTTTATATTGTATAATATATATAAATTTACTAATGTATGTATGTAGGGAAAGCGTGAGTTTTAATTGAAAATTGTTTAAAACTATGGTTTAAGCATTTGTTGTTGAATTCTCCAAAATTCTGACCAAAATTTAATGATTAAGCACTCAGCATTAATAGAAATAATACGTGTGCTTATTGATTTCTTGCTTTTATGAGACAATAACTTTTGGCTTCATGTCCCAGCGGGACTTAATTGCTCATTGCTTAATTTCTCTTTTACTATTTACTTACCAGAAAAAAAACAGATGTCGTCATTTGACGTGGGCTTTAGTTGACCCAAAGCTATCCCAAGATATGCCGAAAACAAACTGCTTACAAGACAAATTAGGATTTTTCCAGGAAGGTTTCGTAATTTGGCAATTGATATGTAAACAATTAATGTTAGTGCATAGAAGCAACAAGATATGAGAAGTCCGATTGGATACATTTTAAAGCGTATCCGGTCACTGCCCACTACTTTTGTATCAAAACATAAAAATGTAAAAAGCTGCACTGAAAAAAAGGACAAATAATTAGCACTTTAAGATTTTTTCAAATAAACAAGCGATTATTCATTGTATTTAAATAGGAAGGAGTTTACCTTTTGATTGGGTCTGACCCTTTCCAAACAATATTGAGTATTTGTATACATTTTCAAAGTATTTTGAATAATCAGTGACGCGTTGGAAGAACTGATTGTATGCGCATCATCTGGAAAATTATCTGGATCCAAACGGAATTTTTGGCACTGTAAGCCATGAACAATTCCGAAATCTGAAAGATATTTTAAATTTATACACGGTTGCTTTGAGATTCTTATGCGTTAAGATTTCACGGATCTGACCTAACCCAATATAAATGAAGTGTGTCATAAGTGGCACATTCAGTGGTTGATTAAATAGATAAGAAACTTTGACAAAAATAATTAAAATCACCAAAAATGTCAACACTAATGACGTATCACAACACTTTGTACGCTCAATTGTACAGTAAAATAAATTTTACTTTTATTTGGCACTTGATTATTTGTTGTTATACTCCTGCAGAGGGTATTTCAAATTTGGTTAGCTATTTGTTTTGCAGAGAAGGATCGGATCAGAAAATTGGTTTAAAAAAACTATAACTCAAATACTTTGGGAGATGATTTTACATAATTTTTCATAATTATAGTTTTAGAAATTTAATAATTAAATAATAATTCTTCAAAATCAATGCAGTTTTGCTAAGTCTGTAGAACTGTATTTTGCTTTCTTTCTACTTATTTTTCATGATTAATTTTTTGATTTTAAATGGGCTATTAAAATACCGATTATAGCTTTGTTTAATTGAGCTCATTTCCTATTCAATCACATAAACCTATAAATACATATATAACTACAAAAGTAAGTAAAGAATATATATATAGGAATAGCTACATACCTGAGGGTTTTGAGAAGTTAGCGTTTATGTTCAGGTTCTGAAAACCCTCGAATTTCATATCTGTCCCATCATGTTTACAGTAAGTACTGAAATTTCCTTTGGCATACATTTCACCTTCAGCACAACATCGTCGAATACACGGCAATCTTTGGCAGATTTTGGGTTCCTGACATGCCCGAACCAGGAATTTTTGATCCGAAACTTTTCTATTCGCTGGACCATCGTAGTCGTAAACAGCTTCAATGCAAAAATTGGATGATGGTAAACTTTGTGATCCATCTCTCCAAACCAACGAATTGTTACTGAATCGAACTGTTGCTGACGAAACGGTATATTCTACCAAAACTTTGTTGTCGGAACAGTGTAAGGTGTTATCAAGAAATATAATTGGATTGCTGATGATAGAAGAATAAACAAAGAAATCGTTTTCGCCAAGTATGCACGTATTATTTTCGGAAACGTAAATAAATCCTGGTGGGCAGCACTTGTTTACAAATCCAACATTTTGAGACGGCACATTCTTTTCAAATACACAAGATAGACTAATGAGACTTTTGTTGTTTAATAGCCCAACGCATGAGTTATTTGGTAAGGACAAAGTACTTTCACTTAGTTCACTTATATTTTGACACTTTGATATCTTGTTTGAGTCATTGGGTAACTCTAAACCGAGGCCCTTTGGGGCTATCACATCGCCTATCACTTTAATTGCTTCCGGAAAGTCTTTAAGGTTGCTTTCGGCGGAAGCACATTGAAAAATTTCAGAGTTATTCGATTCGCGGTATTTGAGTAATTTTGAATTCGGACTGCAGCATATTTGAACGGCGCACGCTTCCGAAATGCCACTTAAAATCAGGCACGTTAAAGTTAGTCCGATGACCATTGTTTACGCCTTTGATTTACTTCCCAATGACCAATTTCTGAGCTTGTGTAATGTTTGTATCTTTCTTAGAACGGCCTTTTCATATCTTATCATTGAATCGTTATCGGGCAATATAAACTTCGAACCGCCTGCATTTGGCAGATTTACCGAACTGAAGTCTTCGCAATTCCTTAGCGAGCAAATGCGAATGTTTATGGGTAAACATTTGGCCTACACACATACGGATATAAATCGATGTACATGTATAGGGAATACATTTATGAATTCGTAAGCTTATACAAATAAGTTATACCCCATGGAGTGTTGAACACTTAGCATGCTGGGTCTCACGAATAGACATTCATACATCCAAATGGCTACATATTTACCTAGCTACGTTTAGATATGTACACATTTGCACTCATTCTATTGATGACTTTCTACACTAGGTTCATATGTCAATTCAATACGTTGTTTATTGTTTTGTTTTTATAAATTATTAAGAAGTTTTAACTATTTGGAATGCCCATGAGTAAGATTTGATCCACAGGTTCGAGAAATTGTACATTTACAAATTTTAATGACTCATATGAATTATTAAGAAGTTTTAACTATTTGGAATGCCGATGAGTAGGATTTGAATCACAGGTTCGAGAAATGGTACACATACAAATTTACCTAATTAGTGGCAGTAATATGTAATATTATTTAAATGTTAAAGTAATTAAATTTTTTGTGATAATACCCAGATTACTATAAACGTGTATTGAGACATTTTAAAATTTTGCTTAAAAGCCTTTTGCCTTTTACGAGTCCTTTGAACGGTAGCCTCACCAAAGTTATTTGCAAATTTAAGCATACATATGATAAGATTGTCATTCTAAGGAACCTAAGAAAGTAAACGTTAATTCAAACGTAACTTACAAATTATATAACGGTGTTACTGCCATTTGAAATCTAATCCTCTTTTCTAAAAAAAAACCTCATTTAGGTCAAGCTCCAAAAGCTTAAGCATACATATGTATGTATATACATATGTATGTAGATCATGGAGTAGTTATTTTTCTGTACCGGTCTCCTTGTGTATCAAGTTTCTTACAATTTGTCTTCTACATTCTTACATAGGAGGTATATTTTGAATTTATTTTCCTGTGAAATCTTTCCTCTCCCCACTCAACTAGAACTTGAGGTAACAAAACAGATCACATAAAAGCAAATCGGGTTATCCTGATTTATGTTAAGCAAAAAAATACTGCCAAATCAGCTGTAAA